ATCTTTCCCTGTCGTTTGCTGCTTCCACTAGATTTAAGAATGTTCTATAACAAAGAGCAAGTTTGGGGGGGAGTCAATTTGAATTACATATACACCGTATAATGGTGCATGCAAACTTGAAAACAAAAACATATGACATCATGTATGAGATATGCCACAGAATTCAAATCATGTCTATCATTAAATTTGAAACTAATAATATACTCCCAATATGCTAAAATGATCTTCACATTTGACTTTTCGTAACCAACGCAACACCTTGACCAATAACTATATTAATAAATATATACTCCATCCATCCTAGATTAATTGTCCCATTACGGATAACAAAACTTGATTGAGTTTGTCATCAATCCAATTGATTTAAATAATGATACAAAAATTCAAAAAAAAAACTATATTTTAAAAACTACATCGAATTTTCTTTTAAAATGAAAAAGGAGATGAGTAGGTGACATGACGATATTATTTTAAGAGATGATTAACGAAAATAAGTAAAGAAAGAAGAAAAAATGTTGACTTGTAAGCAATGAAGTGAGTTGATTAATTCAGGGCGGAGGAAGTACTATAAATAATTGGCATTTCCAATCTACAACTCAAAATGAATCCAATGTTTTAAATTACGTCAGAAAAATATTTAAGTTTTCCTCAAATCAGAACCAAAATTTGTAATATTGGACCCAAAAGTAAAACTTAAAGACCATTTTGGGATGGTGGAAAATTACATTGTCCGCAGAAAAAAAACCCCAAACCAGATCCAGATATAATATTGCATCCAAGAGCTAAATTTGAAATCTCTAAATTACAACGATATTAATATACTCCATCCGTCCCATAAAATTCTCAAGAGTTTGACTTCAAAGAATTTAAGAAAGTTGTTAAAAAGTAAAAAGTGTGTGGTTAGAATTTGTTCAGAGGAGAGGGAATTGTGGGTAGCTACATATTCATTACAACTATAGAAAATAAAGTAACTAATAATTTTTTTTGAAAGGTCCGAAAATTAAAATATTGTATAAAATAAAGTATGATAACATCCAACCAACTAACTAAGCCTTATCCCGAATCCATGGGGTTGGCAACTTGAGCCAAATCAAAATCTTGTACAAAGTTCTATTTCTACTTTCTTTTATGTCATTATATCTAAGATTAACCAAAAATTTAGATACAAATTTAGATGTCGAGAACTTTAATAAGGACAAGAAACAGAAGTGCTTGGATAAAAAATGACCCATTAATTTGGAAGCTGATTTGTTAACTAACATTGTTTAAGGCCAAAAGGTGAGGTTAGAGGTGAGGAACAACAGACCGTTTGTGGAAATATCGGTATATCACTAAACCTGCACTCAGCTATCATGATTTAATATAACCTTATAAAGAAAATTCACTTAAACACATTATGAATGTAAACAGGAATGCATCAGACCTTTGATCTTGGTGTCGGCTTCAGAAAGAAGGGTGAAGTTATTCTCCATGGCCAACTAAGTTCAAAGCAATTAAGTGACCTATAAAAGAAGAAATACAACTAAAGATAAGATGACTACGAGTTATTTATTGTATCTATGACAAGGAGAATTCAAGACTTATACAACCTCAAAAAAGACCTTTTCAAAAGTACTCATTGAAATCATCATAATTTCTCCAAGCTGAATGAGGTGCCCGCCCATTATCATTGTTTCTAGCTTCCTGGAAAGATGAAGTTGGTTAGCCAGCTTTGAGCTATCTTCCATCCCTCCCCCTCGGAACAAAATATCTTTGTATGCAACAAGCTCTCTTAGTTTCCATATCACTAGCTCTCATAGTTTTATGTATATTTATCAATATACACAAGCATGCACACATACATATACATATATTGTCATGATAATGCAATAATGATATACAAAAGATATTTAGCTGGTTTGAGTGAGAGTATCCCCATGTCATTTTCCAAAAACTATAAACAATTAAATAGCAAGCATAGAATATGTCTCTCCTCCACAAATAACAAACCTAAGTATTTAAAAGCAAACTTTAATCCTATCATATCCTCAGCCAAAGAAAAGTCCTCAAGGTTGTCCCCAATGACTATATCATATTTTTCCAAATGTGAAAGTTTCTAGTACCAAGGTAAATGGAGACCAAGAATAGTTAAAAGTAGATCCGCAACACCCAATCATACACATTCAATAAAAATATATCCAACACACTTTAAATCGATATATATTCAAGATAAAAGCATCAAATAGTTAATGACCAACGAATCTAGATTGATATAAATAAATACTCCAACCGTCCCATTTGAAATTTGACAGAATAAATTATGGAGTTTAAGAAGCTTAAGCCTTGTTTAAGTCTTGTGCCTTATGTGCCTCTGTATGCCTCATCCACCTAGGGCGTAAGCCTCAAAATACCAACATGAGGCTTAAATCCATCGCCTTTAACACTCCCACTTCAAGGCAGACCCCCTCAAACGCCTTAGAAAACCATGAGAACGAGTTCCAGATTCCATTTTTTAGTATCAGGTGACAAGTATTGTATGAAACATAGAGTATATAAATTTCTCCAACTTATGGGCAAGCTTAAAGAGAGTAAAAATTTGAAATCTAGTTTAGAAACCCTGGGCTTTATAAGCCTAGGCCCATTATATTGTTCTTTATATATGCAGTGTACCAGTAATAGGAGAGTAACAAGCATCCCTGTTGTATGAGAATTGAAACTACGCCATATGTACATGCACAACAAAACAAATGATCTGCAATGGATGGAACTTCAAATACAAACCAGTATTCCCAACAGTGCAGTAACTTTCTGAATCCTTAGTGGTAGCATATTCAATTCAATATCAACAAGTATGCTCCTATTAGCTATGCTTCTCTGAATCTCGTCATATATTCTCTCAACCCTGCAATGGCACAAGAAGAGAGATGAATCATTCTGACCAAATAACTTGCAAGCCAGAAATATTTTCCTTAAGGCATCAACTTACCACTTCTTACCCTCAGTATCGAACACAGGTGTGAGGACTAACTTGAGGGTATAATAACACTCTTGAACAGTATATTTCATGTAATCGTCCCTTAAAATCCTGTCCCATAGCTCCTCTTGCGAAAGTCTGGGCTCTTTACCCTCAATAGCAGTATCCTTTAGCAAGAAATATCTGTGCAAGAGGCAAAAGACATACATACCAGGAAGAGAAATAACAATATGTGCATACTTAACTAGCATAGAAACAAAACAAGTATTATAATTTTTGATAGCAACCTTGCTTGCTAGAAGGAACAGAGGCCATTGAACCAAGGGAATATTGTCTATTATCCCTGAATTTTTAGGCATTAAAAGCAACTCCATTTCCCTGTATATTAAAGAAGATGAATGTGTGTCTAGTGAGCTTTAGTCAGCAGTCAATGAATAAGACCTGATAACAGAAAATGCCATGGCCACAAGTAAAACTCACAAACTATTAATGTAGTCTTCTTCCCTCAAATTCCTTATAATCTCATTCCAAAAAGGAGCAAACTTAGCAGCATCAACTTTGTTCCTCTCTAGTTCCTATCAATTGAACAGTATCATTTAATAATCAATTTAATCAAAATCAAATATAAGAAAGCAACTACTCCCACTGAATACAATGATATAGCGTCCTTGCTATTTTCACATGTCTAACAAAACAATTGTACATCATAATATCAAAATACAACAACAACAACAACCGAGTTGAATCCCACTACAGTAGGGTCTGGGGAGGGTGTGTGTACGCAGACCTTGCCCCTACTCGGAAGTAGGGAGGCTGTTTCCAAAACAGGTTGTCCGGGTTGAAATATGTTGGTATCAATAAGAAAATTAAAATAGATGTTGTTTCCTAGACATACCTGAAGAAGCAATTCATATTTAGAGTTAAATAAGAAAAGACTGCAGGCTCTATGAAGCACATTCTTAGAGTAGCAGCATACCCCAGAAACAGGTACATATCATTGGTTTGATTTACATAAGCTGTTTTTCCATTGCATCGCCACAAAAAAGGGAAAACATTGCAGCACTTACTAAGAGAACAAAATCAAATATCACATGATAGAAGCTTAATAAACAGAAAAGTACTACCAAGTTCAACATTGCCGAAGGCCAAAATTTGGACCACCGGAATAGCCGTCTCTGCTGACCACCACCACCACAAACTCAAATCAGAGTCCTTAGATCTGACAGAGAGCGATCACAGCTTAAACCCTCAGATCAAGAATATCCTTCAATGCTTACACCCTTAGATCCATCCAAATCAAGCATGGGTTACACACTTACACCGTCCGGTGAGATCCAACGGAGATGACACCAACCGACAGTGCAGCTCCGTCGGAGATGCAATGCCATGCTACGCCTTAGGTCCTGCTCAAAAGGGGAGGAAGACGAGTTGAAATAAAGAAGATGACGAGGACTTGAAGGAGGATGTTGGGTGGAAGAAGACAAGTTTGGAACGGGGGGAATAGTTGAACAGATGATGATGATAACTTAGGTAGTAGCATCTTGTATGTCATGGAAAGGACAAATCTAAAGTTGAAAGAATGGTTATCTTTCCTCACCATGTAAATATGTGATAGATTATGCCTAGGTGCATCATTCTTTATAAAATCGGTAGATTAATTGGAAGAGATATCCAGGGTTTTAAGTCTTTCTAAGACATACAAAATGGTTTTTTTGGTAGCAAACATTGTCTATGTAACTTGTAAACTGTAACTTATATGCTCCAATTTGACTAGGAATGTTTTAAATAAACTCAATAAATGTTAACTATAGGCCATGCATATAAATATAGAACATTAAGTAAGGATTAACACATCCCACGAACAAACGACATCAAAATATAAGCACTCGTTTAGTAGAGTACAACACAGTTAGGAACCAACTGATGATATAACCCTGAGAATTATCGTGACACTCTAAGTGATGAACTTTGCAGAGCTAGATGTGACTTGCCTGTTGCGAAATAGACAATTACTACACCATTATTCCTCAACTGGCATGTGCATAACCAACCATGAATTCTTGTCTTGCCAAATAATATGGATTAATTGACAGTGGTCTTTTGCGACTCAGTTACAACTTCAGTAATAGCTTCTGCATATTTATGTGGTAAATAGCTTTCATGGCGCATGGCGATGGCCATGACGCATATATGGCATCGCCACAGGACACAAGCCACACAACCAATTTAATAAATTCATAAATGTATGAGACATAAAATGAATAAAAAATAATAGAGTACTTTGATCTAAATCGTCATGTTGAAAATAAAAGCACGACAAAATAATCATTCCAAAACACCTGAAGGTGCTAGTATTAAAATAACTTAAGCAAAACATAAAACTTAATTCAAAATTAAGTTGGCAAATTCACAGGATAAACCATACCCATCAACAGAACAATAATTTAGAAACAAAGATGCACAAAGTCTGAAACTCTATTTTTCTGACTTTTTTTACAACTTCTTTGTATGCTTTTTCTAGTTTCAAAAAAATACATTAGAAAAATAAAAAATTAAAATAGGATGCAAGAACATCAAACACAAAATTATCCAACCACTTTTCTATTGTTGATATTTTCTAGTTGAAAAAAAAAACCAAAGGAGCAAGAGGGATAAAAAGGGTAGGAATGAAAATGGTTCTAATACCAAATTGTTACAAATGTATTAGCAAACGTGGAAGAAGAATATCTTTCCCTGTTTGTGACTAGGAGGGGAGAGCACGTGGTGACTAAAATCTCATTATTAGATATTTGACTTCAACCATTCATCATTCCATTAATCATTGTGTGAGTATAAATGGGCAACACCTTAAAAGACACCTATCATAATCATACTAGGAAACATGAATCCTTATTTAGGGATATTGACTAAAATAGAATAAGACTACTAATAGGAAATTAAAAATGATAATAATAATAATAATTATAGTAATAATAATAATCATAGCCATAATCTTAATAATAATGATAACAATATTTTTATTAATGTTCATATCAAAATATAAAAATAAAAGAAAACATAAGTCTAGGGGTAAATAGAAACATTATTTAGATAAGGTCTTAAAAGGAAGGTAAAAACTAAAGTGATAAATTGGAAGGTAAGGAAGAATATTTCAAGTCTATGTAGTGTGATGTACTCTATATTAATTACAGAGTAAAAAAACAGAAACAAACATAACATCCCCATCCCTTGGCCCACCCCCGCCCGAAAAAGGTTAAATAAATAAGAAAATTTAAAAAATTTAAAATGAAAAGAAACTGAACATGGGGAATCGGGAGCAAAACAAAAGCACAAATTCCCTAAATAGGACTTGTTATGTTTTTTCCAAGAGTGGATTTAAATAATTAATTAAATATTTATTCATAATTTCTATTTACCATTTTATCCATTAAATCTCAGATCTGTCGGCGTGATGCATCATCGCTTACTCCGGTCACCCCTTTCCAAGGTCAAATAGTGGACAACATAAAAACCATGCGTAGAGTGGCAAAGTAACGCACCTTGCAAGTTCTTCTGAATTTGTCAAAAACAGAAGAAATGCAAGCTCTTTTAAATTTGTTTACAGAAAACAACAAAGATGGGCACCTAGTCAAGTAAAAGAACTCGGAGTAATAACAAAAAATAGTAATAAAAGGACAAACCTTATCTTTCCCATTGATGTCAGCCTTCACAAGTTTCAAGAATTATTCTTCGTGCACTTTTCCATCAATCAATGTCTCAACCTCATCAATGAAAGCAACTCGAAGTGCTTCATTTCTACAAAAATGGATCGCAATGAATGAAACTCAGATATTGATGAATGAGAGTTATTACTTATTGATTATTAGTATTCGAATCAGATTATGATCGAAAAATTCAGATGAGACCACAGCAAATCAGAAACATATACAACTTTAACTTTAATTGGAATTAAATGAGACTAGACTAGAAAGATTTCAAACATATCAGACCTTAATATATCAAACTAATGAGATAAGACGAAGAGAACATGCTCTTAGGCTTTCTGTGTAAGGTAAGAGGTTATCATTAATTAATTTCTAAATAAAAGAGATTGCCATTTGATCACCTTTGCATTAGTAATGCAATATCCGCAGCCTCAGGCTTTTGATTCTCTTTCTGTTTCCCATATATTTGGCAGGTAACTACATAGGTAAATTTGAGATCTACTTGAGCTCTTGCTTCAAGAGACAACTCAAAACCTTGGGTATCAGTTGCTTTGCTCTGTGAAATTGCAGCCTAAGAATCTAATGATGCATGTACCAGAGTATTATTAGTAAACAACCACAGTAATGACTAATGAGAAAAAGAACATTAGAACATAATAACTTCATCTCGTATATGATAACCTTGAGCTGCCACACTTTCCAAATATGCTTGAAGCATGAGAGCTTTTCGGTAGTACATCATTCCACCCACTGCAAAACCCAATGAATTGTGTTTGTAAACCAAAATCATAGAGTATAAGAATAAGCACATCTCAAAAACGTTCAAAATATAAGCCATTTATTTTTTTTTACAAATCTCAATCTATTTTCTGAGCTACATTCTCACCCTTTCTCCTTTAAAAGTAACCAAATAAAAATGAGCACATACCATATCGTGTTTCCACTTGGTAAAAAATTGTTTTTCCTAGCAAACCACTTTTTTATTT